GATGTATACTGGAGTATTTAAAATATATGTGTATCAAAACATAGATGTATACTGGAGTATTTAAAACATCAAAAGATATATGTATCACATGGAGTATATGTTTCAATACACATAAGTTTCAAAACTTGTATTTGAAAAAATGTTAATATGGACGTGTTGTGTTGATTAACATTTTTCCAAATACAAGTTTTTGAAACTTTTTAAAATGTCGCGTACCTTTTTTGTAACACATAAATATTTTTTGAATGTCACAAACACAAGAATATACATTGTTTTCTTACATCTGGACGTGTTGTGTTGTCAGTGGTAATGTTAGTTAACCTTGAGCACAAGGTCACATGGTCGAGCCACGGTGCTCATTTTTTCCGTGTTACATTTCTTGTAAAAATTATTTTCAGTCAATGTTTATATGATACAAAAATTAGTCATGCTACATAGACATGAATGATCAGTAGTCTGGTGGTTGTCCACGTATGACTACTAGGGCACGTTGCAGCTTCAAGACCCCACATCGCTTGTTTTTTCATTTTATTTTTAGGGGCTTAATACGAAAATAAAAAAAGCCAAAGGCTTCTCTGCAGATCTACATGCTACAGCGGATGACAATGGGCCCTGGCCACACCGGAATGCCACATAGCCCATGGATACGTCCGTGTACATGAAATGTGATCGTATATGAACGCTTGTACAAGTTTGATGACCGGAAACATGTATTTTACAAGTTTGTGCACTAAACTGACCATCGCGTGCAAATTCTATGACTTCGGGTGTATTTACCTCTTCTAATAAGTATCATCTATCCAGCGGTGGTATCATGCTAAAAACGAATTTCAATATCGATAATGTAAGTGCCGTTGCTATTCCATAGTTCACATCTAGCAGATCATGCACTTTTAATAGATCATATATATACACGCATCAGGATCATGCTTCATATATATGCACGCAAGAGAAACAAAGTCACATATAGCAGGCAGGAGAAATATTGTTTTGTTTTAAGTTAATCATGATCGACACCACAAATAAATTCACATATAGCAGATTTTAAAAATATACTAGAATTTCTATGCGTTCATCCGCCACAGTCCACCGTGCCCCCGCCCTCCCGGATCAGCCCCTCCCTCCCACCGTGCCCCCCGACCCTCCCTGTGCCGCCCCTTCCATGCCCAGCTGGATCCGATGACATCGGTCTTCATCGCCCCCTCCCATGCCACTTCCCACGATCTGCCCATCATTTCTGCTCAGGGCTGGCCCTATGTTTTGAAGGGCCTTAGGGCGAAGTCGATGACATGGGCCCTTAAGGCTCTCTCTTTATATATATTCTCTTGCAACAAAAAAAATTTAATTTTTAGTTACACATTTTTTGTTTGAGATTACATGATGTCTAATAATGATTGTTGAAAGACTTGGAAGAAAAGGAAAATAGTGACATCTTCGACTATTAGTAATTTATGTTGAGTATCATTGTTATTTAGGAAACGTAGGATAGCGTAGGATTTATTCTACCTTGACTTGTACTCCAAGATAACCATATACTCCTACATATATATGCCCATGAGGCTCAAGCAATAAAACAACCATTCCACCAATTTTCCTCTTCCCTTCTAACATGGTATCAGACTAACCGATCCAAACCTTATCCACCGCTTCCGCCCTGCGCGCCGCTCCCGGGGCGGTCAGCCTCCATGACCGCCGCCGGGGGCCATGCCGCCCAGACCTAGGGTTTGTCCGCCGATCGTGTTGATTGGCTGCCTTAGAGAGTCTTTTTTCCGATTCTTGATCCGAGTTTTTCTTTCTCACACCGGTCTGCGTTTCTTCCTGATTTTCCGATCTAAGATCGGTTTGCGTTACCCGCCGCCATTCATCATCTAGAACGTGTCTCTACTCCGACCTCGACAACAACTCCCGCCTTAACCGGGATCTGTTGCTGCCGGCGTCCCAGGTTCACGCGTGTGTGGTGTTGCAGTGGCCGGTTGCACCGTCATTGACTGGCATGTCGTCTCGCATGCGGGCGTGGTGTAGCCGGCCGCTCGCGCATGCTCATCAGGCCACGTCGATCTACACCGGTTGTGAATCATGCAACCTGCAAGTCTCGCTACTTGCATGTGGGCTGCATCATGTTCGGGTATGCTTGGGTGCATGCATGCATCCATGCACAAGGCCGGTTCCGGTCGGCTGCACCACTGCTTGCATCCGAGCGCGTCTCGTCGTTCGTCCACATCTTCTCGATCTTGCTGGCCGTGTTTTCGGTTTAATCAGCAGTCTGCACGCAGCTTCGCGGGTCTATGAAGATCATCATCCGGTATGAACGCCTCTTCACTGATCGAACAACGGGCTATTGCTCTGTCACCTCATAGAGCGCAGCGTCGCCGCCTGGTGGTACTCCTGCGATTGCATCGACCGTGTGCTACCGCTGCGTCGCCCTTTGGGCCATAGTGCCGTGGCCCGCGGTTCACCGCCGCCCCGAGGTCGTTCAATTCAGGCGTCTCTGTGACTGCACCGACCCTTGCGCTGTTGGTGCGCAACCCATCGGGTCATAGTGAGCGTGGCACGCGGTTCGTGCCGCCGCCCTGAGGTCTTCCCCGTCATCGCCCCGATCCACGCGCTGCTGCTGCGTAGCCCCTTCGGGACGTAGCGCCGCGGCACGCGGTCCACTTTGCCGTCCACGCGCGTCGACTTTTGTGTGGTATGCGCCGCGTCACCTTCCTAGACGCGGGAACGCCACTGTCTGCGCTGATCTTCATCACGCTGTCGGGTTCTTCTTCGCCTACTTCGAGCACCGCCGCCGCATTCTTCACCTAGCCGTCGCCGCCTCCTCAGGCCGCCGCCGCTCTTCTTCCCGGTCCACGGTGACTACCTCGACACCGGCCACCCCGACTTGACATCGACCACGGCGTCCCTTGCACGGCTAGCTCGACCACGGCTACACCGCCCTACGCTCTCGGCTACATCGACATCGGCACAAAGGGCTACCGCCTTGCTTGAGCAACCTTATCGGTTTCCATTCCAGCCACGACTTTCACGATGCGTCGACCGTTATGACTAGGGGGGGTCAGTCGGTTTGCCTTCGGATTCTTCTCCAGCCTCACCGTCTGCGTCGCTACCGTTGTGATTGCGGGGGATTTAAGTATCGTTGTTATTTAGGAAATGTAGGATATCGTAGGATTTATTCTACCTTGACTTGTACTTCAAGATGATCATGTACTCCTATATATATGCCCATGAGGCTCAAGCAATAAAACAACCATTCCACCAATTCTCCTCTTCCCTTCTAACAATTTAGAATCAATCTCCATGCCATTTGGATTGTCGGTACCAGATGAAGGCTCATTTTTTCTTCCTTTTTATTGTCCTCATTCACGCAGGGTCGGCCCTATGTTTTGAAGGGCCCTAGGGCGAAGTCGATGACATGGGCCCTTAAGGCTCTCTCTTTATATATATTCTCTTGCAACAAAAATAATTAATTTTCAGTCACACATTTTTTGTTTCAGATTACATGATGTCTAATAATGATTGTTGAAAGACTTGTAAGAAAGGGAAATAGTGACATCTTTGACAATTAGTAATTTAGAATCAATCTCCTTGCCATTTAGATTGTCAGTGCCAGATGAAGGCTCAGTTTTTCTTCATTTTTATTGTCCTCACTCACTGAATTTCTGCTTGCAAAACAGAGCAAGCAACACCCTCATCTACATTTATTGACCCTGTTTCTTGGAGCTATGTCGTCATCATTCAAGAGTTATTCTGTTGGTCAGTAACAAAAAAAAACAATTTCTCTCTATATATCTAAATGCATTCTATGTGCAGACTCTATTTCCCCTTCACCGTCAATCAACATGATTTAAAATTATGTTTTCATAAAAAAATTCAACATCAAAATCAACTGTTTTCCTAACCGATTGTCATTTCTTGTCGCCCACCGTTTGGTGGGCAACGTGCGGCCAGCTGTACCCCTATATATTCTAGATATAAGATGGCACCACCTTATACTCCCTAATATAAGTAGATTGTGTGAATGCATGTGATAAGGACATTCTCTTTTGGTGGTTTTGACATGTTTTCCCAAAATAGAAACACCTTCTGTCATTGGTAATCATACTATTCTTATTAATGAAAAGTGGTGTTATTGTTGTTGTTAAACAATCATTTGATCAATGTATGGTGAAGGCCCATTCTTTCTGTCTTTCAAGATAACGTGAGACCCTAGCCTATAATGTCGTTACACATCCTTTCGTCTTACACACACCGGATGTTCCCTATATGAAAGTGCCTCTAACTTTTTATCTGCTCCGGCTAGATCATGCTATCAGTGGCCTAGAAGTGAGTTTGGGCAGTTGCAAGCACCCACATCAGGTTATGTAAGGTGTCATGTTCTTGAAATGGAGCAATTATGACTACTCACCGTACTCATACAACAGTTAGGTTACTAAATATCTGTTACTCCTTTTAGGTTATCAAATATAGAATATGTGTTGTTTAATTTTTCATTTTCTTATCCAAGAAAGGTTCTCGATGATTTGCTAAAACTGCACTATGGTCAATTGCACAATAAATTCTTATGCAAACTCTCTTACGACATCAAGATGCACATGCCACGTGTAAAATTACTAGTATCACAAGATTACTAGTATCACCAAACGTACATGTATACTATATCAACATCGGGTAGGTAGCTTGATGTAACTGAGTGTTGAAAGATTTGGCAAACAAACGGTGACAATCATAAACCCCATCGTAAAGGCCTATCGTCCATGGTGCTTCATATATTTCTGTCTAGTGTTTGTTGAGAGATGCTGAGATCGGTTGTGAGATTGAGTGATGAGCCCAACTTTATAACATTGTGGATGCACATGAACTCGCCAAAGGTGAGGGTGCGGTAGCGTCTGGGGTTTCCTTCACTGACGAACTCCTCCGCTGGGCCGACGAGGCAATCTGCATCAGGCTGGATGAAAACCCCCACTGACGTTCGTGGCATCACCGGGTTGGTCATCACCCGGTGCTCAATGCTCTTTAGCACCCCGTTGGTCACAACCTGCAAGAGCGAACCAACATATATAGTGATGATTCGATCCACCGATACTTGAATGAACAACTTGCTCTGTTGAGAAATGATGTATTAACTCAAGTTGCAAGCCGAAGTTGACGACAAAGGCATTTGGCACGGGCTCAACGGTAATCCGATCGCCCTTGTATGAGACCTGCAAGCCAGGGACAGCACCGGGTAGGAGGAGCGTGATGAGGTTCCTGTCACAGTGTGGCGGCAGCCCAAGGCCGAGTCCCGGATCCAGGTTTGAGCATGACGGGTAGTGGTTAAGGCCAATGATGGTTTCACTACCACCGAGGGGCCCCTCGAAGTAGTTGTGGCGGAGCCCCAACCCATTCCCATGCCTCTTGTGAGCACGATCAACTTCTCGACAACCTCCCTATAACCAAGCGAAATCACAAGCAATAAATTAAGATTACCTCTCCACCACACATGTATGCATATGATGGATGAATCGGCATGGAATTATGACAACAGATGGTTTCATCGACTCTCTTCATTGGTTATTATGTGCCACGTAGACAAAAACTAGCGAGTTATGATATGGGAGAGCTTATGCTACCGGAGTCCTTGGGGTTTGTCGGGCCAGTGATTCTTGCTGTCTCCCACGGGGAAGGTGCAGGTGAGGCGGAGGCAGTCCGTCCAGTACTTGTCGCCGCCGGTCTCAAAGGTGCTGCCGGAGAAGAGCCGGTTGGGCTTGCATCTGTCGTCTGAGTAGAAGGGTGCCACATCCGGCGCCGGCAGGCGGAAGAACTCCTCGCACACCGCCTCCATGTCCCACATCGCATGCTCAGGGACGCCGTGGTTGACCACCTGCACGCATATGCGCATGCTTATACGTACTTTCTCCGTAGTGATCTAAACGTTCTTATATTTTTTACCGGAGTAATAAATATACTGATGCTTGCTACCACTAGACGCCTATTAATTAGTACATACGTAATGAAATACCCGTGGCAAATTAATCAAGACAAGATGCTTGGCGTGGTGGTGGTTAAATTGGTCTGACCTGGAAGAAACCAAGCTCCTTGCCAGCGTCAAGGACGGCACGGCGGACCTCGTCGCGGCCGAGGGAGAGGTCGATGATGGGAAGAGAGACGGCCGGCGGCGGGACAAGCAGTTCGTGGGACGGGGCTGAGGAGACCAGCTTCTCCATGGGAATAGCAAGGCAACAAGAACGAACTGGAGTAGGGCTAGCTCGTGTTATCTGATTGCACTGCACTTACTGCTGCTGCCTGGCATGCTTTTTATAGGCTTGGAGATGGACGACGGAGAGGTTTTAGCCGTGTCAGCAATTTGCTCCGTAGGGGTGGATGTAAAGTTCGAAGCTCCACGAGCTTAACGAGCGGTCGTTTGATAGGCTCGTTCAGCTCGTGCTCATTTGTTAATGAACTGAGATAATATTTATTTTTAGTTTGTTAAACTAACTAGCTTAACAATGCGAACAAATGTCTCGCGAGTAGCCTCTTAAGCTCACTAGAAGAACGCCCGTGCGTTGCAACGGGGCCATATTAACTTTAAGAGTTCAATATTAATCATGTTAATAATACATTTAATATTCTCATATATATCAAGTGACACTGGCGACCTTTTTTGTCAATTTAGCAACGGACTCAGTTGCAACGGGTTTTTTATACATATCAGACAACTCGCTACTACTTAAACTACAACTATGGCTACCAATATTTTTTTTGTCAATTTAGCTCAGCAATAGTGCCTGGCTTAATAGACTGCTTTGCATTCACCCCCTCAGAAGACAGAGAGAACCAACTCAACATGTCAGAAGATTAACAGAAATTTCATTTGTATGGCATGAACATATAGCAGGAGCACCAACACATAGATCAGCAGAGAGCAGAGCACAGCATGCACACACTCGGGCCATCTATATCATACACACACAGCAACACACACACGCATCACGCTAGCATACACATACAGAAAAGCAGGCACACACGCATCATGCGCATTGGCCGGTGCGACGCACGCAGAGCAAGTACGTACGCACGGAGAGCAAGCTAGCAAGCACGCACGCGTCCAACCCCGCCGCTGCATGCGCTGGCGAAAGGTGAGGCAGCAAGGGAGACTGCACATTGAAGTTGTCCATGCAAGGCTGGAGGTGTTGGGCCGGCGACGGCGGTGTCGAGACGGCGCTTGATTCGTTCCCGGTGGCATGGAGCTTGGGGCGGCAACGCGGCGATAGCTAGTGCTCGGGGATGGGGGTTTGGGGCGGGGGCAGTCGACCCGATGGCTGGCGAAGTTAACGGGCTCGGGCGGCTGGAAATTCGGCGGGTGGCGGCGGCACAGCGCGAGGATGGGACAGGCGTAAAACCTAGCGGGCGTTCAACTACCAATACCCACGCCTTTTTTTTAGGGAAATTGCTTGTGAAAATAACGTGCGACGACGACTTAGCGAGCGGATCCCCTTAAAAAAGACATAGCGAGCAGATTCCCTTAAAACTGGTAGGAATGGATACGATTAATGACGTTGATAAATAGTGGTGAATGTTGGCCTAATTTACTATCATCATGCATGGAAACGAATCATCAAGAAAAAGAATACTTTCTATTACTACACTCATAGAAAGCTTCCAAATCTCTGCTACCAAACAGTTTCTGCCCAAACAAGGAAGGAAAGTTATGGACGTGATTCGGAAGAAAACAAAGTTATGAAGATTAATTAATTTAGATTTGATCTTTAGAGATTGATTGTGATTGATTCTTTTACATAAAGACATTACTAAATAATTTGCGTCAGTATGGAAAGTTCTGATCCGTTTAGTTTTTTTCGTTGTGTGAGAGGGTGAAGTGAAAATAAACCGATGAAGTGGGGGAGGCGACGAAAAAAATCTACGACGGTTAACCTATGAAAAAAACCGAACGAAAGTGGTGGGACGAAAAAAAACCTGGAAGCGAGACTACCAACTGCTCTATTAGAAGTAGAGACTAATAGTAATGTTTTTATAGACCCGCTCAACTAATCAGAAGTGGCCAGGCGAACTCAACAACGCCACTCGACATGTTCTCTTGTAGCATCACCCCAGTCTTATATTTTTCGTTGCACCGTGGAAAGATATTAGGTGAGTTGCGATCACGAGACACCGGCTTCCCCCTTCCCTTGAATCATGTTTGATCCTTCTCTAGTGAACCCGGTTGCATGGGGGGCATGGACAACAGACCCTTCTCTGATGGGCCCCGGTTGCATCATAGGGTTGGCATGGAGGACGGAACACATGGTGATGCCCGGCGGGTGATTGCAAAATGAAACTGATATTTTCTAAACATGAGCAAACAATTTGTATTTCGGTAGTCATGATCGGTTCTATGTCTTCTTCTCCATGATTCGACCGCCTCTCGTGGTCTTCAGAGTTTGTACAGTTCCTTTTCAGCATTTTCTTCTCCGGGAAGCGATTTGCTTCGCAGTTTGCGGCCGATGGCGTCTCCTGGTCTGGAGACTTCCCGGCCATTGCTTCTACGAATTCCTGGGTTTAAACAAGTTTGCTTCGTTGAGGCGAAAGCCAAAGAAGACATCGAGCTATGGTCAAGACGCGCCAAACGGTGGAAGCAGGAGGAAGAATACTTTGGCACCAACCAAAATTTTAATGTAATTTTATTTTTCTATAATGGTGTGTTTGTAAAGATATGCGATACTTAATACTCCATCTCTTCTGGTATAGAGGGCATATCTCAATTTTTTTTGGTTTTTCCATTTTGTAAGTGCCATATTTATTACTCTCCATCATATGTTCTGATTTCGAGTTAGATTAAATCGTTGCATGCAAGTATTAAGAGAAAACTCACCAATGCACACAAAAGTTTTTGGTCATTTAGTGGTCACACATGCATGTGTTGCAATTAATGCATTGATAAACATATTTTTTTGAGTAAAACAAGCACATTAATTGCGTAATTTTTGTAAACTACAAAAAATATTATACCACTCACAATCTACGTTCGTTGGTGAGATTTTTGAATTTATCACTTTAAACCAAAAGGGAGGGAGTATATGGCCTTGGGTACAAAGGACACACATACTGAAGTACCACTGCTTAATATATCTTGGGTAGTCTGCAAAATTCTCAATTAGCCAGTTTTGAATCTGAAGACGGCTACATAACATCATTCCAAAACCTTGCTCTTGAGTTTATTTCTTCCGGATTGGGACAATCAGACCATTTCTTCATAGCAGGTTGATGAAGAATGAGCAGTAAAGAAATAAGCAAGGCATATAAACTGTAACTCTTGATTGATTAACTTTCATTAATAATATTTGGGGTTGTTTTAGGATGAAACTTAATAAAGTAACTGAAAAGTATTACTTTTAATCGAGGCATCATAATTGGAGTTGATGGCATCAAATTATCGGATAATGATTTCTCAAACCTGTAAAATACTCCCTTCATACACTAGTACAAAAGGGGGCTTTGGTCCAGGCCGGGTAAGCCCATTAGTCCCGGTTCAGTCCAGAACCGGGACCAATGGGTGCATTTATCCCGGTTCGTGCGGCTAAGGCATTAGTCCCGGTTCACCTGGGCCCTTTAGTCCCGGTTCATGAACCGGGACTAAAGGGTGCGATGCCCATTAGTCCCAGTTGGTGGCACCAACCGGTACTAAAGGCTAGACCTTTAGTCCCGGTTGGTGCCACCAACCGGGACTAATGGGCTTTGAGGCATTAGTACCGGTTCATGGCACGAACCGGTACTAAAGGTCCCATTTTCAAACTCTCCCCCCTTGGACCGCCTTTTCAGTTTTAGAAAAAACAAAAGAAAATAATGGAAATGTCAAAAAAATAAAATAAAATAAGTTTTCCATGTGATATGTGGTCTAGTTGTTGGGAAAATTTACAAATATGAATTTCGACTTTATTTACAAAATCTCTCTGGAATTTGTAAAATGGGCATAACTTTTGCATACGAACTCGGATTAAAAAGTTTTTTATATGAAAAATTATCTACTCGAAAAGTTACATCCAATGGAGACTGCCTACGGCCTGTTTGCAAATTTGTAGAATCCTCAAATTCCAAAAGGAAAAAAGTTATGATCAAATTTCAGTTTTTTAAAATTTTCATTAAATCTGGTCAAACTATGGTCAAACTACTTATTCAAGAAGTATTAGTGTTACTAAATAATTATTCAAGAATATTAGTGTTATTAAATAATTATTTTAGTTTTTTTGAATTTTGGTCAAATCTGGTCAAACTATGGTCAAACTGTGGTCAAACAATGGTCAAACTACTTATTCAAGAAATATTAGTGTTACTAAAAAATTATTGTTTTTTAGAACAATAGTTTCAAACTCAAACAGTGAAATGTGTGACTTCATGCTCAAGCTAAACTCCTGAGGGTTAATAGGATTGACATCTTACTATTGTCAAGAAAACAACGAGTGCAGACTTGGAAACGAGGGAGAATAGAACCCGAAAGTTAAGCGTGCTCAGGCTGGGGGAGTGGGAGGATGGGTGACCGTCCGGGAAGTTAGATGATTTGGAATGATGAGGAGATTAGAGGTTAAAATAATTCAGAAATTTGAAAATAAAAAAAAATTCAAAAAAAATCAGAAAATTTCCTTTAGTACCGGTTAGTGTTACCAACCGGGACTAAAGGTGGACCGGCCACGTGGAGGGCCTTTAGTCCCGGTTTTGGTTTGGACCGGGACTAAAGGGTCAGGGCATTAGTACTGACCCTTTAGTCCCGGTTTAAACCAGAATCGGGACTAAAGGCCCTTACGAACCGAAACTAAAGGCCCTTTTTCTACTAGTGATACCAAAACTAGCCTAAAAAGGCATCTTATATTTTGATACGGAGGTAGTACATCTTAGCCAAGAGGTTACAACATATACCCAAACTGTACGACTGAAGAAGGCAACAACGCTGATTGTGAAAAGTAACCCCTACTACATCATGTTAACGGGTAATACAACAAAAAAGACATATATATCTTTTATTTTTAGCTTAATAGATGCAGCAATGTTTTTCAAAAGTATGGCTGCCATTAATAGAGACTTTTCTCAAGAAATAATTCCTGCTATTTGTTTTATTTCCACATGTACCGTGTTCTTGAAAGGTGTCACTTCATGTCAGCAGAGATAATGACCGTTTGAGTTCAGTGATGTCTCTTGGAAAAAATAATCATGAAGCAGATTGTCAATACATTGCAAAGAGATAGTATATGATTTGAACGCATACATTATGGGAGTACCATTTTTTTCATTCCATATGCACCTGCATGCCCTGAATCCATTGTAAAAAGGCCAGCAATGTAATCCAACCAAAATACGTGTGCAAGCTTTGGAGCCCTCTACAAGTTTTTTCCTTGGTTTTGTTGCTCGAATAGGCTCTGCGTACCGGACCAACATAGTTTCTCCTTTAGTATATATTAAGCTGTAATATATTGGGCCGGAAACAACAAAATATGGAGAGAAGGGCATAAATGTACTCTATGCACACATGAAAGGAGGGGGCAGAATGAATCTCCATGAAAAATGCTAATCTATGTGGGAGCCATGGATGAACCTCGTACAGGGATGCTGCAACCGAAGGAAATAGCCTCTGGTATTCCTGCGAGAAAGACATACAATCAGAAGAACATTCGAACCAAAGCCATATTTCTGAATTGAACAATGAACCGAGGCAGAAGCCAACAAAATGAACACCAATCATGTAATGGCAAAAATCTACCGTGGGGCCAGAAAGTTGACTACAAGCCACCGAAATCAGATTCGCAGATGATAAATGGGCAAATGAAGCAAAGATCTCTGTGTAGTAGCTTCATGAGTTAGATAGATAAATGGGCCAATAAGCCCACTCAATGACAGGCCTTTGAAAAAGTCTCCAGAATAGCGGCCTATTAGGACAGCCAGCCCAATTGCGGTAAATCGGTGCTCAAACAAAGATCTGAAGGTTAGATACTGTTCAAACACGAAATCCAACGGCCAAAATCGCTGGAAGTGTGGGCTCAGTTTTACTGTCATAAATGTGCTTAACTATAGATAAATACATGATAACATATCCAATTTTCTACGTGTGGCTATTTAAACCTCCATACATTCAGCCAAACATGACAGTGGGAAGAAAATGACTTTTATTAGAAAAGTGCACGATGTCTTCAAACACTGTTGCACGCCTCTGTTTGTCTTTGCTTCCTTCGATCACGCTCTGGTAGAAAAAAATGGCAAGCAATGTGAAACAAACGGGAAAACAGTCGGCAATAAATACTACTCCTCCGTCCCAAAATAATACTCCCTCTGCACTAACTTTAATGCAAAGTTATATTAAAGTTGAGACACTTGTTTTAGGACAAAGGGAGTAGTTTTGTTCACATGTAACAAAGAGCACAGTATACTATTTTGATTCAATGAAAACAATTTTACCATGAAAACGTGCGTCACAAGCAACATCAGGCAATTAGAGCTCTAAGCAAAGAAGGGGGCCAATCCTCCTTAGCCTCGAACTGAAGATTAATACTCAGGTCAGTTAATTTAATTCTTAATAACACCATGCTCTCTAGTTTTAAAAAGCCCATATGCAATTGAGGTCTTCAATTGAAATTGGGTCCCTATCAGGCCAACAATTTCTTAAAGCCCTCTCATTTAATTCTATGGCAAAGGGGCCATGCATGTCATGGCTAGGAGACACAAAGTAAATGCAGTCATAACCAAATTAAAAACAAGAAGAAAAATACGGAATGAAATAGGACGCCAAGAGCCAGGGACCCGTTCGCTAGTTAGAATGGCACTTGCAAATGGCTCAGCTGGTAGTTTCTTCATTGGGGGCGGCAATTTCCAAAACTGCCATGGCAGTTCGTTTAAATCTGGGGAGTTCTTGCTGTAGAATTGCGACTATCTAATCCCGATCAGACGGTTCTGGGGCGTTTGTGGGATTTCGTCCCCAGGGAACATTCCCTAGATAGCATTACTGATGAAATAATGTTGCTTGGAGGCAAAGGAGACCAAGTAGGTCACACCTGGAACACAAAAGAAGAGTAGTAATAATAGAATTAAAGAAAACATAACATATAAGGAAGGAAATAATCTCCACACGCATGGACCAATGAAATAATCTTGCTTGGAGGCAAAGGAGATCAATTAGGTCACGCCTGGAACACAAAAGGAGAGGCAAAACATATAAGGCTGGTTGTAATGGGGAGTATCATATAGTAGTATCATGCATACGATACTAGTGTATGATACTACCTTCCTAATGCATAATATCATACTTCCTTCGTCACAGTTTAGAAGGCATAATTAAATTTGCGTGCGTTTCCACAATAAACAAGGTTTAGGGCACATTGCATTTATTTCTAGTAGCTAATTAGTACTCCGATATACTATTTCTATATGCGTGTGAATGCTATTTTTTAGTCCATCTCACAACCAATAGATAACCACCTAGGTCCCAGAGAATTTCCAAGTGCGCCTTCTAAACCGTGACGGAGGGAGTATATTAGTATCATGTAGTACTCTATTTATTGCCATGCATGACACAAAGTAGAATATCATTTATTATTATACGGTATCATAATATGATACTCCATCATCTCTTTATTTATTTAATGATATGACACCTCATCAAAATTGCTTAGTTGGTATGCATGATACTAGTTATGATACTACTATTACGACCAGCCTAAGAAAAGAAATAATCTCCACGCGCATGGACACAAATATTCACCGAATGCCAGATTTTTAGGCATGGCAGATCGAAGATTTTCCATGATAAATTGTGTCCGTCGAGGATGACAAGTTTCGTTGGCGAACATGACAAATCCGACTTAGTAGTTCATTTCTTGCCCAGAAGATTACCGTGTTTGCAAAAAAATAAAATCCATCCTCGTGCCAAAATAAAATGTCATGAAAACATTCGATTTGCCGTGTCTAAAAATTTGACGTCAGATTTTTAGCACACGCTTGTCAACGCGCCGCCTAGTTTCAGGTCGCCTTCTTCCTATTTTTAGGCGGGCACGATTCAAAGCTGGATATCCGAGTTACTCCCTCCATTCCAAATTACTACGCCTTTAGATTTCTTCCAAAAAGTAAATCTTATAAAAACTAATAAAGTCTAGAGAGAATATTCTATGCAATACCTTTCTTCGGGCACAATCGGTGTAAACAGATAAAATGAATCCAACGGCTCGCGAATCGGCGGGTCTTGTAAAATTATCCGCCGGCCAACGCGTAGCATTGCCCATATATAAACGGCAGGGTTACAATGCAAAATCTTTGGGTATCAATTCCCTGCTCATGAATGGAAACCCCAGGCCGCCTGTCAGCTCTACCCGTGGCCTCGGCCCGCGGCTTCCCTTTCCCCCGATCACCTCGCCCTCCCTCCGCCGATCACCCCGTCTCCTCCATGACCGCAAGCACGCCTGGATTCTCTGTCGATCGGTTTTATGCTGGTAGGAAACTGTTTTAGGCGCATCTCAACATTTTGTATTACAGCCAGACAAGAACATGCGAGGCCGTCACGGCAGGCGAGCGATGATGATGAGCTCCGTTGCTGGAGGCGCAGGGCAGAGGCAAGGAGACGGCGGCATGTTAACCCGGATTAGTTTATCCCGTCGGGGTGGCGCAGTTTGATCCCGGCCGCCCTGAATGATTGCCATGTGTAGGACAACCAGATACAGCTGCGAGTATTCTACTCACCCACTGTCATGAGTCATGGCCAACGCTCACGACGCAGACCCCAATTCCTCGCAGACTCGTCGTAGCCGCGTGATATTCTACCCCACCCGCCGCTGTACCACCACCTCTACCACGACTAGTACTGCCAGGGAGGGGCCGAGCGAAGAAGGGTTTGTCCTGTCGGCCTTCGCTGCCACCTCCTCCTCCCCCCGCCACCGCGCCCACGGGCTCGCCTACCGCGCCGACTTCACGCCGGGGACTCCCTCTCCGCCGCCGCCCGCCGCCGAACCTGCGGGTCGGCGACGCCCTCGCCGGACCCCCGAGGGAGGCGGGCTCCCGGGCTGCTGAGCCCAGCCAGCAGGGCCGCCGCCGCCGCCGCCGGATCGCTGGCGCGGCCGCCCCGATCCGCGAGGACACGAGCCGCCGCCCGCGGATTTGGTAAGCACCGCCTCGGGCCGTGCGCCGCACCCACGCATGCGCGCGCAGATGTTGAGGCCAGTTCAAACTGTTCCGCGGTTTGGGGGATCTGGCTGCCCGCCCCGAACTGCCTCCGATTCGTAACTGCTCCCCCAGTTCCTTCAGTTTCCGCTGCGAATTCTGCCGCGCCGCCCGGACGCTCCAGCGACCTGTGTTGCGTGCCCGCGCTCTGCTCCTCACGCGGATCTTGCTTCCGGCCTAAGATTTCAACAACCGCCGCCTGAAATTCGGGGCCGGGCGGTTTAGAGTTTCTTCTAGGTGCTTGCGTGTGTACTTGTCGGCACTGTTGTAGTCTTAATTGTTGCTTGTGGAAGTTTAGGAAGCAATGCTGACTTAGGAGTCGTGATTTTTCGATGTACTACTAAGAAAGCTACACCTCTAAATCTACAAGTCTGTCTTAGTTGGGGTGTTCGAACTAGTCTCGTTCATTCATTGCGAAACTTCTTCAAATTGGTTACGGGGATTCAGCATTCTAGATGTAACCAGCCTAATCAGCACCCCCTTTTGCTTCTCAGTTTATTCATCGGGGATTCAGGGGCATTGTTTTCTCATTTCTGAATCATTTGATGATTTAAAAGCTGCTCTGATTTATCATTCTTTCCTCGCTTTTGCGTTCACAGCTACAAGTTCTTCAGCGGTGCGGAAACCGTTCTGCTAACAAGTTCCATCGCCGCCAAACGATACTGACAGCCCCCATGGCAAAGCCCGGCATTCTAGGCCGGAGGTATGTATAGTGCATCTACTTCATGGACAGGGCTCATGCCTAGTGACTTCTAATATTTTATTCTGTGCTCCTCAATGGAATGCATAATAATTTCTTTGCCAATCTTCATCAGCAGCAGCATGCCAAGATCAAATGAAGGCATGAGGCTTGTATTCTCAGCAGTTATCGGTATTATGCTAGGTTACTTGTTTGGGATATCCTTCCCCACAGTCAATATAACCAAGGTAAATTGGATCATTTGCATCTCTTGTTCTCTTATGCCACATACTTTAGACAATAATCTTTACTATCTGCACTTCGCAGCTTCATTTCCCTTCCAGTATTGTTTCCTATATTGAAGATAGAAACTCCGGAATCACAACCCAAACATTGTTGAACCATGCATGGACATCTGCAAACAGTCACAAGAAGAACAATTCTGATTCCAAGTCTGATGAAATTCCTAAGGTACTTTGCCAAGCTAGCACTTTTTAAGGGATTTTGTTAGCCTTTTGACTTGTGTCCTGTATTTGTTCAATGCAATCTGTGTTGGCTTTCTTCTTACTTATATCCTGTTTTGTTTTGATCGTACATTGTTTTAGTTAATTTTGGGTGATCATATTATTGGCCCATTACTTGAATTGCTCCTGTATTTCTCATGTTTAGTACGTGAATTTCAAATTCCGGGATTACATGTAGGATGTAAATTGTTTCTGCCCGTGTTAAAACGATCTAATGCATTACTGCATTCTTTATGGAAGTGTGTAAGTTTGTGACTAAATTTCTGATCCTCGATTATCACTGATATTTGATCGAAGTCCTCACTCTACTTAGATAGAAAAGATATGTGGTTCCTCCTAACTATTCTCATTCCTAGTTGGATTTGGGTAACCTCTTTTATTGAAGTATAGGACATAACTTGCCGCATAGATGGCTGCTTCTCATAGATATAACAACACAAAGCCTTTACTGCTTCTCATAGATAAAGCTGGTTTTATTTTATTTTTAATAACTATTCTTTATTCAGATTTATGTTACCTCAAACCCTAAAGGTGCTGAAAGGCTCCCACCAGGTATTGTCGTATCTGAAACAGACCTCTATCTGCGAAGATTGTGGGGCGAACCTAGTGAGGTTAGTTGTTGTTTCACTTGCTAAGTAGCAAATGATGCTTTTAAATCTCTTACTGACGTTTTTAATACCCTTTTTTGATCTATGATCTGAAACATATCATCAGGATCTTACTATCCAGCCAAAGTACCTTGTTACATTTACAGTTGGAATTGCGCAAAAGGCAAATATTGACGCAGCAGTCAAAAAGGTAATTAATTAGACATGTAGCATGCTTAAACAGAATGCCCTGGATAAAATATATTCTGGTACTGATTTGGTAAAACTGATGATGCATCGCAGTGAATTGCTCAATTTCTTCATATACAAAATAGTAATGATTGCTTTTGATATTCATGCATGTCTTCTATATAGTTCTCGGAGAACTTCACAATTATGCTGTTCCACTATGATGGTCGGACTACTGAATGGGATGAATTTGAGTGGTCAAAAAGGGCCATCCATGTGAGTGTTAGCAAGCAAACTAAGTGGTAAGTTTGTGCTATTGTTTATCAAGTTCTTTTGCACTCTTTCTATTTGTTTGACCGTCAAAGCTTAATGCTTCTTATAATTTACCCTAGGTGGTATGCCAAGAGATTTTTACATCCCGATGTCGTTGCCCGGTATGACTACATATTTATCTGGGATGAGGATCTAGGTGTTCAACATTTCAATGCAGAGGAGTAAGCACTGCACCCTTGTTTCCTTTGCTGTCCCCGTGGTGTTCCTTCTGAGGAAGATAATTTCAATACAACTCTTTTGTCAGGTACATCAAGCTTGTTAGGAAGCATGGGCTGGAGATCTCTCAACCTGGTTTGGAACCTGATAGAGGTCTGACATGGCAAATGACTAAGCGGCGTGGTGATCGAGAAGTTCACAAGTGAGTTATAGAACATATATTCTTGTTGATGCTTAACCATCGCCCACCTAGACCAGTTCCTTATGTGACATTTTGCTTTATACAGAGTAACCGAGGAGAGGCCAGGCTGGTGTTCGGATCCCCATCTGCCACCGTGTGCAGCGTAGGGGCCAAATTGTTTATTGTTGATGTATCTTGATCTTTCAAAATTTGTCTTCACATTCAATTTGATGTGCAGATTCGTAGAAATTATGGCAACTGTGTTCTCTAGGGATGCATGGCGCTGTGTATGGCATATGATTCAGGTGGAGTGTCATTTCGATCTCTTAGTCATCTTGTTTGGAGCCGGTATGCTTACACTTTCACACACTACTTCCTGCAGAACGACTTGATCCATGGATGGGGCCTCGATTTTGCTCTTAGGAAATGTGTGGAGGTATTTTCTTTGCTCTCTTGAAAGTGACCACTGTACATTTAAGTTAACCTCCTAAAGGTCTAGGATAGCTTAAATTGATTGCTAGGGACCCTGTAGAATTGGGGCGTAGATAGCAATGCATAGGAAGTTTGGCGGGTTTATTCCTTTGATCCAAAAGGAGCTTCATAGAAAGAAAAATAATGCTACGGACTGTAATCCTACAAAACCCTTTTGATCCAAAGGAGTAGTCTGCATGATTAATTATTTGATGACATTTTCATAGAAGGCTAGCACCATCCAAAATTATATCGACAATAACTCTAGGGGGCTGTAGTTATGTGTTTCTTCACTTTACATGCTTTCCCCAAACATCCATGTTTTACTGATTTGAACTGTTCTACTCGATCTTAAATTAAACAGCCAGCTCATGAGAAAATTGGAGTTGTTGACGCTCAGTGGATTGTTCATCAGGGTGTTCCATCACTTGGTAACCAGGTATAGTCACCGTTTCATCTCACCTATCACTGTATGCCGTCACTTGTTTCCTGACCTGTAGTATTCTTTTCTGTCAGGGCAAGTCGGAGAATGGAAGAGCACCATGGGAAGGGGTAAGCACAATCTTACTGATTTCATTACGTATTCTTCACATTTCAATGTACACGAATTCTGTACTCCATGCTGTGACACAAATCAATTTATGCCTGTGGATTTACATTTATGCCTTGTTTGGTGCGCGCCACAGGTAAGAGGGCGGTGTAGAAAAGAGTGGGGGATATTCCAGGCAAGGCTGGCCGATGCCGAGAAGAAGTATTACTTGGATCAAGGGATCACGCCGCCGAATTCGACTTCAGTCTAGACGAAATCACACGGTGCACAGGAACCATATTAGGTTTCTGTTGAGGAAACCTGGCCCTTACCTGCTCAGTATCGTTCATGATGAAAATAGCAGCTGCCTACTAGTATAGCTGAAGCTCCCGGGCCAGACCACGTAGTATATTATTGTACCGATGCCACTTACGGTGGATTCAGAATATGAGTTAGAAGTACATCTTATTTAGACACTTTTGCAATGCAAAGGTCCACCAAATACTGGCATACTACACATGCAGGAGCATGTGGAAGATAAGTATCACTGCAGGTAGGATTGTATCACGCCGGTAGTCGTCGCTTGTGGGCAGGACGCAGGAGCTCAGTAGTAGCTGTGCTTCATGGGCTGCGCCCACCCGCCGCCGTAGCCGCCGCCGGAGTACCCCTGGGTGGTGGAGCTCTGGTACGCCGCCTCGTAGTGGCTCCCGCCGCCGAGCCGCTGGCGGCGCTCGTACGCGGAGTAGTACTGTGTGGCGCCGGGCACGGTGCTGCCGCCGTATCCGCCGCCCAGCACCTCGTCTTCGCAGTCGCTCTCTTCGTCGCTCTCCCACCCGAACTGGTTGTATTGCAGCTGCTTCTGCATCTGCCGGCGTTGGACAAGAGCGTCATACCCTGCGACGTCGCCGCCGTCGCACCCTTGCTGCTGGTACGCATTTTGCCCGTACCCGTGCTTCTTCTGGGCGAGCGCGTCGTACGACGCCTTCTGCCCGCCATAGGCGCCGTGCTGGAAAGCAGAGTCGTACCCTCCGGCCATCTGCCCGCCGCCGTAGCCGTGCTTCGTCTGCTTCGCGCCACCGTGGTGGAAAGCAGCGTCGTACCCTCCGGCATCAGCGCCGTGCCCGTAAGCCTTCTGCCCACCGCCGTAGCCGTGCTTCTGCGTCTCACTGCCGTGGTGGGCACGGCCGTACCCTCCGGCGTCGCTCCCGTGCTGGTACGGCGCCTTCTGCTCGCCGTAGCCGTAGTTCTGCACTGAGCTGTCGTGGTGGACGGCGTCGTACCCTCCCGCTGCAGCGCTGTACGCCTTCTGCTCGCCGCCATAGCCGTGCTTCTTCATGGCGCCGTAGCTGTCGTGGTGGAGGGCGGCGGCGGCGCTCCCATGCTCGTACGCCTTCTGCTCGCCATAGCCGTGCGCCTTCTCGCCATAGCCATGCTTCTGGACCTTGCTGTCGTACGCGTTCTGCTCGCCGTAGCCGTGCTTCTGGACCTTGCTGTCGTAAGCCTTCTGCTCGCCGTAGCCGTGCGCCTTCTCGCCGTAGCCATGCTTCTGGACCTTGCCGTCCTGGTGATACGCCGTGTGCTCGCCGCCGTAGCCGCTCTTCTGGACCTTGCTGTCCTGGTGGTGACCACCGTACGCCTTCTGCTCGCCGTAGCCATGCTTCTGCGCCGAGCTGTCATGGTGGGCCTCGGCCCCATTCTGGTAAGCCTTCTGCTCACCGTAGCCATGCTTCTGCGTCGTGCTGTCGTGGCTGACGGCGTCATAGCCTCCATGCTGGTACGCCGCCGCCTTTTGTCCGCCATAGGCGCCGTGCTTCTGCACGGAGCTTTCGTGGTGGTGAGCGCCATACCCTCCGGCAGCGCTCTCATGCTGGTACGACGACGCCTTCTGCTCACCATAGCCGCCGTGCTTCTGCCCGGCGTTGTCACGGACGAGGGCGTCGAAGCCTCCGACGTCGCCCCCGTACGCCTGCTGCCCGTAGCCGTGCTTCTGCACGTCGGCATCCTCAGAGCACAGCTCCGTGAGGGAGGCCGTCTTCTGCACGCCGCCGTTGTACCCCGCCTGCTTCTCGTTGAGGCTCATGTGGCTGATCTCCGTCATGACGGTGGTCACCGAGTCGGAGTTGTGGGTGTGGTAGCTTATCACGGGCTTGCTCTGGCCGTAGCCGCCGCCGAAGCCCAAAGCACGCTTGACGATGGACATGGCTGCTTGCTTGCTTGGGCTCCTGGCTACTTGCTCTTACTACTACGGCTTGGCTTGCTTAGTTGTTTTGCTAGTTGCTTTGTGGCGGTGTATGTGGCCATGGGAGGCAGGGTTTTATAGGCGCCGTGGCGAGGGTGGGAGCCATAGCATTTGTGCTTGGTATGGTAGCTGATGGATATATGCTCTAAACTTTATATCTGGTTAAGCATCTAGTGATTCGAACCTAGTTTCCGTGCTTGTCAGGAATGTAAATTTCCAAGCATCCTCGCCAAATTTCCAAGCATCTTGTATATATCTCCAAATTTCCAAGCATCTTGTAATTATTGTTGAAGATAAAGCCAAGATCCTATTCGCGAGCCATATTTGATGTCCTGTTTTCTTCCCACGCCTGGTGGGGATGCTTACTTATCGTATATTACAATGAAATGATTAGACAATTTGTGCTAACGTCACAAAAATAGATTTTTTCTGTCTTTCGAAAAGAGGGTAGAGACTGCTTGGCACTTGATGAATAATTTGAATTTTAGTAAAGGAAAGGAATCCATCGCGGCCTCGGTGAGCTTTGTTCAAAACTATTGGGCTTCTTTCTCGTTTTGTCGTGCAAACAAGCAGGTGATGATGTGCAACAAAGGTAAGCAATTAAGTAGTGGAAGAACTCCGGGTAACCACTAATATGTAGATTAATGTTATCTCCTGGAAGCCTCCTACCTTGCATTTTTTCAAGATTAATGTCGACGCAAGTTTTGTGGAGGCCATCAAAGCTGCGAGCATGGGGTGGTCGTTAGAGACCATTATGGACAAGTTATCATCTTCTCTTGGGATTACATTGGAGCTTGCCATAGCGTCTAGAAAGCGGAACTAAGAGCGACCCTATCCGGCTTGTATAGTGGTATCACTCTTGACAAGCCCATCATTTTAGAAACTGACTGTTCTTTTGTGGCTTCTGTATTTGGAAAATTGTGTTGACAGGTCAACTCCGATGGACCTAAAGAAGGAGGCATTGAATGTCTCTAAGCTGACGGTGGGTATAAAGATAGTCAAGATTAACGGGAGGGCCAATATGGCTGACAAGATTGCTAAGTTCAGTTTTAATAATAGGTTCAATGGTATTCTTTTTAATACTGGTCTGTCCTGCTTGGCAAATTTTGTAATGAATGGTTGTATGAACGTCATAATTTAATTAATATATGGTGGGTTTTTCCAAAAAAAGCAAAGAGGGTAGAAATCCCAGTCCCTGCATCGATAGATGTATGCAACATTCTATTATCACATAGTTTTTAAATATTCAAGATCACAAAATGGAGGATAAGATTGTCGGCGTTCTGGGAACGGGGGTTCCCAGACTTGTCTGCCTGCGGCCCGCGGCGTGGCTGAGCCAGCAGGCCGTACGTCCCATCTTCATCAATAAGACATTCAAGACCCTCGCGAGGCAGACGACGCAAGACCTCCTTTGGAGTAGCCTAACCAGGCAGGCTCGTGAGGAGGGAGATATCAAGGCGGGGCAAACCTTACAAGGCCATCGTGACGTGAGCCATGACGCACGACACCAGGCGGGCGCCAGCGCGCACATCGTTCTTATTTCCTCTTTGGTGCTAAGGAGGCCAGCGCAGACGAAGAGTACCGAGACATCAGGTAAAGATTGTTATATTGGTGGAACGAGACCAAGACCAGGAGGACGGCAAGATGAAGGTCATCGTGGAGCCCAACATGGCGTCACCGCCAGAGCTTTTCGCAGGCCAAGACCACTTTTGTCAGGATAGCTTGTACTAGCTGTCCCCCTTCAAATTTGCCCGTCGTTGTTGGCTCCCTTCCCGCTCAATATTTGGGGAGAGGACCAGGGCCTATATAAGTAGAGCTAGCCACCATAGTAGAGGCATCTCATCTTAGCTTGATCCGACCCGATCGAGAGCCTACTCACAAGAACACCTCAACCTCAGGAGGTTGTTCTTCCCTTGTACTGTTCATCATCAGCCCCAAAGGCAATCCACCACCACCACACTGAGTAGGGTATTACACCACAACGGTGACTCGAACCAGTATAAACCTCGTGTCTTTTTGTGTTGCGAGTTCGTCGAGTTTGTCTGCGAGATCTTAGCGAGATAGGGCGTAGATCGGTAGGAAGGAAATACTTCGCGCGCACCCGAGTGTTCGAATCTTAAGTGTTTGCCGGAACCCCACATCCGACATTTGGCGCGCCAGGTAGGGGTACGCCGTAGCTTCCCTTCCATCAGTTTGTCGCTCCGTCGTCTCCATGGCGGACGCTCGCCGTGCTCGAGCTGAGCGTGGGGCCGCCCTCACCGCCCGCGTCGCTCAGACGGCTCCTGTCGGCAGGCCACATCGCCGTTCTCCGTCTCCCGCCGCCAACGCTGCCACCGGCCCGGCGGGGAACGGGCAGCAGGCGTCCTCGCTGCATCCTTCGGTGACCCCTGCCGGTTCTTCGTCTCATGCGCACCGCGCTCCCATGGAGGCACGGGCCGCGTTCCTCGCGCCGAACGAGCTCCTGCGCTACCGCCCCGTCGACGACCTCTACGAGGAGTGGCTCGACCGCGTCGCCGAGCTCGTTCGCGCCGCGGGGGCTCTCCGGCGCCGTCCCACTCTCTGCCTCCCCCTCAACCAGCCGCAGGCGACGGGGCTCATGGCGTGCCTCCACCACCTCAGCCCCAAGACGGTGTCTTGGCACCAAGGCGCGCGGCTCCGCGGCGTGATCCGCCGCGCCCGGCGCCCGCGCGCGAAGAGAGAAGCTGCCAAGAAATTCCGCGGTCGCGAGAAGCTGCACCTGCGCTCCCCGCGCCACCTCGTCAAGACCGCGCACCGCCCGCGGCGGTGCAGCGCGGACCTCATCAAGACCAAGCTCCACCTCCGAAGCAGGCCCCGGCAACCATGGCTGGCTGCCGCGCCTTCACCCCCGAGCTGCGTAGTGTCGTCTGGCCGGGCAAGTTCAAGTCGGATCTGCCTCCTCTCTACGACGGTACCGCCGACCCCACGGAGTTCCTGCAGCTCTATGAGCTGAGCATCGAAGCGGCCAACGGAGACGAAAAGGTCATGGCAAACTGATTTCCCATGGCTCTCAATGATGGAGCTCGCTCCTGGCTCCTGAACCTGCAGCACGGCTCGATCTCCTCCTGGGACGAGATGCACGACCGCTTCGTCGCCAACTTCCAGGGCACTCGCGACCGCCCACCGGCCGCGGGTGATCTACGCTGCATCAGGCAGAAACCAGGAGAGACCCTCCAGAAGTACATCCAGCACTTCAACAGCACCCGCCTCAAGATCCCCAAGGTCATGGATGAGACCATCATCTCCGCGTTTTCCTACGGTGTCCGTGACGTCAAGATGAAGGAAGAGCTTGCCATCCACGAGGAGCTCAGCACATCTCAGGAGCTGTTCAACCCGGCGACCAAGTGCACAAGAGCTGAGGAGGGGCGCCTCTCCCTCCTTGAACTGCCAGCCGTGGGCGCGGAGGAGAAGAAGGCCAAGGCCAAGGACGTGAAGCGCAAGGAGGCAGTTGTGCTCGCAGCGGAGCCCGACATCAAGCGGGGCAGAGATCAGCCCGATTTATCCAAGAACGGCCGGCCATTTTGCTCCTTTCACAACCTGAACACCCACAACACCAGTGACTATCAAGAGCTCAGAGCCATACGAGAAGGACGCTACGGTCGATGCCCCGAGCGCAACGACCGGGGCTACGGCCGCGGAGGAGAACGTGGAGGCGGACGCTGGGACGACCGTGGCCTGCGCCAGGAGTGGCGCGACCGGCCTCGTGAGGACCGCTGGTAGGACCAACCTCGCGAGGGCGCCTGGAGGGACCCGCCGCGTGAAGATCGCCCCCAGGGCAACGCCGGTCTTCCGCCGCTGCCGCCACCAAGAAGGAACGACGACCACCACCAGGACGAGGGGGCTGGGGGCTTCCAGGAGCCGCGTGCGATCGCCTGCATCTTGGGCGGCGCCGAGGCCCCAGCCTCTCAGCGCATCTTCAAACAGCTCGCTCGCGAGGTGAACGCGGCGCTCCCCAAACTCGAGGCCACGCGCCCGCTCAGGTGGTCCCAATGCGCCATCACTTTCAACTCGGCAGATCAGCTCAAGTGCGCAGTCACCGCTGACACCCTCCCTATGTTGTGTTCCCCAGTCATCAGCAATGTGCAGGTTACCAAGACCCTCATCGACGGCGGCGCAGGGCTCAAAGTTCTGTCCGTCGACATGTTCGACAACCTTCAAGTGCCATATGAACAGCTCCAGCCCACCAAGCCTTTCTCAGGAGTGTCCGATGGCTCCACCACACCGATAGGGCAGGTCCGCCTGCCCGTCACCTTCGGGGAGCGCACAAACTACCACACCGAGCTCATCGACTTCGACATTGAGCACATCCGCCTACCGTACAATGCCATCCTCGGGTATCCGGCCCTGGC